TTAATGGTAGTGTGAAAAATTTGCCGGGAATCAGAAATTCGGGGCAAATTTGCCCCGAATACGGATTAAGGGATAAGATTTATAACATAAAAATTGATTTTCTGAAGATCTTTTTTTTTGTCAATTTCGTCTCTTTTCTCAGCACCTAGCCCATATGTAAGTAGTTCATTAACACTATTATTACTGGCAAATATTTCCCGATGCTCTATTTTATCTAGCTCTAAATCTTAGGGCTAACTTTAAAGAAATAATTGTTGTTTTTAACTTATAATAAATAAAATGTAGTAAAATTTAGATTATTGATCAAAAAGCATCGTATATAACAGCATAATTATGCACATTTTGTGTTTCAAATAAAATTTGTATTAGTTAAAATTAAATATTAGATTGGGCAAGGGTCTATGTAAGGATTAATAAATGCATCTATTTCAAAATCTAAATTTGGTCATCATAGGCGGGTTATCTAGGTAGTAATATTTATGAATATAGTTTTTACTATTGTTATTTATTTTTCTAAAATTTATCTTTTTAAAAATATAATTTTTTAGACTTTATGATTTATAATTACTATATTTGATTTAACTAATTTATTCAAATATAAATAATTAATTTATTGTTTTTTATATTTTAGAAATTCAATATTATTTTTTAAAATGAGTTCTAGTGAAGAAAATATTAGTGTATCTACTTAATTATCTTTATTTATCTTCTTATTCTTAAATTTTTTATTAATTTTGCCTTTTTTTAGTTTCGCCACAGTTTCGCGAGTTTCGCAATTTCGCCATTTTAATTTTTTTTTGGCGAAAATCGAAACTAGGTTTCGCCTTTCGTCTGTGGCGAAACCTCTAAGTTTCGCTTGCCAACACCAGGGATGGTAAATGACCTGAAATGACACAGATGACAAATGACTAGTCATTTGTCATTTCAAGGCCCAAATGACCTTAGAACGTCATTTAACATATGTTAGTTAATATTTTAACCAATCAGAATTGGCCGCCAAACAAAATTAAATTTTATAAAAATATAACCAATAATCGTAGCTATATACCAAAATCAAAATTTTACTAAATCAATTAATATTATGCTTTAAGTAGAGTTGTCCGAGATAATAAATTGCATATGTTTTAAAATTTTTATATAAATTGAATAGCCTTTTATTAATTCATTTCCGCATCTTACGTTTATATGAAAAAATTAAAATTTTTCGTGTAATGTAAGGTATTCAATTTACATGAAAATTTTAAAATACACGCAATTTATTATCCCGAACAACTTTAATTATGGCATGGATTATCGTGAAATCGGATTATCGTGAAATCCACGTGATCTCCGTATCATTGGATTTCCTAAAATTTCCGAAAATCGTGTAAACAATCGATCTAATCGATCTACACTACGTAATCAAAACAATCCTATATGCTGCATAAATCGCATTCTTGATATCTATATATAAAAGACCTTCTAACTGTATCAAAAGGGCGACCCTAACCTTAACCCTAACCTTAACCCTAAACACAAAGCAAAATTTTAATATATGCCTATATGCTGCATAAATCGCATTCTTGATATCTATATATAAAAGACCTTCTAACTGCATCAAAAAGGCGACCCTAACCCTAACCCTAAACACAAAGCAAAATTTTTTTTGTTAGTGGTTTTATAGACTCTTTTTTGCCTTGTGGTTAGGGTTAGGTTAGGGTCGCCTTTTTGATACTGTTAGAAGGTCTTTTATATATAGATGTCAAGAATGCGATTTATGCAACATATAGGCATACCGACCGGTTATAGCATTCGATTTCGTAGTGCAGCTCGATTAGATCGATTGTTTACACGATTTTCGGAAATTTTAGGAAATCCAATGATACGATAATCCGATTTCACGATAATCCGCGACATTAATTAACTTAGTAAAATTTTAATTTTAATATATCGATTAGAAAAGTAATAAAGATCGATAACTTTTTATATGAGTAATTCAACAAATAAAATACTTTATATGCAAATGACCCAAATAACCTAGTCATTATTTGATGACTTGGGGTCATTTAAATTTTGACCAAATGACCAGGTCATTTACCATCCCTGGCCAACACTAGTGCCAACTCTGTTCTATACACTTATAGGCTAAGATGTAAATAATTTATTAGTTAGGATTAGTAAGCGGTTAAACCATTTCTTTGTTGAAAACTTCTAATATAATCTACTGATTCTTCCGTTCCTGGTTTTGCGCGATGACGTCGCGCAGCTACCTTACTAGGAATTTTAAGTGGACAAGACTTATTTATTATTGGTTATTTATGAGTGGACAAGACTTATTTATTATTGGTTATTTGTGTAAGTGGACATGATTATCGTTCTTTATTGAATTCAGGACATTTTATTTAGGCTCATGGCGCAGGATTTACAAATTTGCGTAAGCACGTATACGCGATATTTTGAGCGATACGTGCTTGCATGGATAAGCCACCAAGCCACAATCAATTACACTTTTAGTATACTTGATTAAAATATTTTACACAAAATGAAGAAAATAGGTTACTGCTATGAAAAAGCACTATATACATAATAATAATAAGAGTAAAAACTATACTAATATATAAAAGATAAAATAAAATAAAAGAGAATAACAAAAAGAAAAATTTCCCCGTTACACCAGGGGTCACTGTAGATCCGTTATTTTGTAGATTTCCATCCAAGTGGATTATATCCACTCCATCCCTACTACCTCTTAAGTAGCAGTTTGAACTCATACGGAATTTCTGTAATATCATAATTTGTGAACGTCGATCAATCCAGGATGAAATTTCTGCTACATGCTCTGAATTGATTATGGAAGAAGGCATTGGTTTTCGAGGAGGAAGTTGAGTTGTCAATTTTTGCGAGGAGGTAATTGTAGAAGTAATAGGCTTATTTGGAGATAAAAGTTTTGCCGTAATATCATCCTACAAATTTCTTCAAGGATTTTTTTATAAGGTCGTATTTTTTCTAAAATTTCATCATCAAGAATTTGAAAATACTAATGTGAGGTAAACAATTTTGAAGAGTAATTTTTAAAGATTTGAAATTTCCTTATTCCATTACTCATAATTAGAAGGTAAATTTGGAATATGCGCTTTTCCCCACAAAATAGCTTTATCCCAAATTAAAGATTCATCTAATTGTAAGTCGTTATGTTTTAAGAGAGAAATCAATGCATTCTCTTGAAGTGTAGTAAAATAATCAGAATCAAAACCCAAATTTGGATGTTATATAATAATATCATTACAAAATTGTTAAAATTGTTGCAAAGCCTTAAATTTTCATATTGAAAACTAATCAAAAAATGCGAGAAATTTAATCGAAGCCAAGATGCATTGTGTTCAATAAGTCGAGTTTGAAGATAATCAACAGATTCTGAAATGTTAAATTCATTGAAAGCAATCAAGAGATAAAGTACACCGGTTCTTATAACATAAACTTTTTAATACACTAAAGAAGACTCTAGTCAGAGATGATAAAGAAAAGAAATTTACTCGATGACGAGCCATTCGAAATCTGCATTATATACATTATATTTTACCCGTTTTGAAGGCGGTGTGAACTTCACTTTAAATGTTCGAGATTGAACAGCTTCACCTGGTAGTGTTGGTAGGGCAGCTTTTAAGTCATAATTGAATTGTGCCGGATGCCTGTTTAATAACATTCTTATCCGCATTCTGTCCGCACAAACTGTTTCTCGTAGGTAAGTTACTAGGCGCAATACCCTTTCAACATTTGTCTCCATACTTTTTTCATGGAGATTAAATGAGAGTATCTCGTCTTCGTAAATATAAAATAGTGTTGATTTTTCTTGGTAATATATTGGGCGAAGACTACCGAATCGAATTGTCGTGTCGTTCACCAGACCAATATGCAAAACCGTTTCATTTACTTCCTTTTCTGGGTAGTGCATCAAAGATAGTATACGATTGAATTCATGCACTGCTTCAGCGATAACAACGATATCATCTTTGTGGACTTCAAATCCATTTTGTTCGAACTCCACAAGGAAAAATGCAAATTGTAAATCATTATTGTTATTCACAATTGCGGCGAAGTCCGACCTTGCTGAACCGTAACCGGCATTGCCTGAAATTTAATGTTGAAGCTCCCAAACGGAAAGAAACTTTAATTTGTGAAGTTTGAATGCTGTAGAAAGAATTCCTAACCACAATTCGGGTTTTAAGTGGTTTTCTGACGGGTTGCTACTATAGATGCTTGACGAAATTATTTTTGAATTGACGAATAGCTTCGTCATTTTGCGATTGTGCCAGAAATTTCATATAAACACCAAGAAATTTTTTATAAACTTAAACAGTATACTCCTTAGAATAATATTCTAATTCAAAATTAATTTCGTCACTAATAATTGTCACGGCTGATGCTGAATTTGGCTGATGCTGAATATTGGTCTACTTTGATATAAAATTTTACAATTTTTTGGGGTGTATTTTGTTAGCTTTTTTGTAATAGTTAGACTAGAATTTAGGGTTAGAATTGAATAAAAGAGTATATGTGGGTTTTAGTAGGTGTAATGGATCCAAATTAAGACCCCCAAATTCAGCATCAGCCAGATTCAGCATCAGCCGTGACAATAATTATAGATCAAAATAATTTCGTCAAGAGTTTCATCATTTCGTCAGGTTTAATTTCGTCTACTAATAAAATCAATTTCGTCAAGCATCACTAGTTGCTACCAGGACCACGAACGGGTATAAGTTTCAATGTCATAGTAATTACTATTCATAAGAAAATTAAAAATTGGAGTAATGTTGCAATCGCTTGTGTAAAGTTGACCCTTTTTTCTAAGCATTTGTAGTATCGTGGCAACAGATCGAAGCTCATCATCAGGTTGTTCTTTGAAAACTGCGGTTAAGAGCTTAAGTGCAACCCGTGGGGTTGAAATTCTAATCATTTTAGGGTTGCTTTTCCAACCTGCCTTCATGAAAATCTCAAAATTAATTACAGACCACCTTAACATTGCTAAGCAATGGCGAGCACGTTGTGAATCCTCCTCGACGTGGTGTAACTGCATATTTAAAAGCATCTCGCAATAATTTGACATTTTCGTTTTTGTTTATAAGTCTGTTTTATTTTATCTTTTATATATTAGTATAGTTTTTACTATTGTTATTTATTTTTCTAAAATTTATCTTTTTAAAAATATAATTTTTTAGACTTTATGATTTATAATTACTATATTTGATTTAACTAATTTATTCAAATATAAATAATTAATTTATTGTTTTTTATATTTTAGAAATTCAATATTATTTTTTAAAATGAGTTCTAGTGAAGAAAATATTAGTGTATCTACTTAAT